TCTCCTTTAGTTGGAACGCTGAGGTTGACCCAGAGGAGGTCTCAGAGTCCTCAGAAGAGTCACCATCACTTCTTCCAGTGCTTCCATTGTCCATCTGCTGGACAACTATAAAAATTGCAAATTGGGACCCATTAGTTCGAAATGCATTTCTAACATCATGCATCACAGTACTCTATATTAGATTACATTTGGAATAAAATTATTTTTAATAGCTTTAAATGGGGATTTTTTTTTTTTATATTTGCCAAATTTGAACTACATTCATCCAACACAGCCAAGATGGCACTAAAAAAAGAAAGCATGCATACAAAAGTCCAAATGTGAACCCAGACTAATCTTGCTGTTAAGAGCTGACCAGAGAGCCACTGAGTCACTCAGAGGAAGCTGAGAATGTTAAAATGGCTGATTGGGTTTCACGCCATTAGCTTGTTTTGAGGTCATCAGATTAAATCCCAGACAACCAGGAGAAATTTGAGTGAGTAAAGTAATGAAGCAGTTCCCCACATGTACATTTACAATAAATGTCAGACTTGCAGCACAGCTCACAAGACACGGATCAAATGAGGATAAGAGTGAGGAGGTGACCCAGTAACCCCACAGATTACCTGAGCTGAGATACTACAGGCACTGAATATCTAGTGCAGACAGAACATAAAAGCTCTCATTTTCTCAGCTGTATGTTGTTTTAAATGGAGATCAACTCCTAAAGTGCTTTTACTGTATATTATGGACCTAACATGCATCTGCTATTTTTTAAAGTAGCACTTATAATAGAAGTGCAAAAGCAAATCACTGAGCTGGTGATTTGTGTTTGTGTGTGAGGGATGTTGGTCCAGTAATGCTGCTACAGTAAGTGCACTGTAAGATCACTGTAGTCTAGTGATTGAGAGAGCAATGTATTTTGTCAGTCCATGTGACTGAGCTGGATTCTCAAAATGTTTGTGATGTAATAAAACACATCACAAACATGCAAAGACACACTAAGAAATGCTTTGGTCCATGCCATGTGCATGCTTGAATATTTTCTAAGCCACTGCAGTTGTTAATCAGTTGTGAGTCAGCTGTTAGTCATCCTGCCAATTTAGTAAGGTTAAACCACTTTCTGCTTAGTTATGACAAGGCTGGGTATTATTTGTTTTTATATATTAGTGCCAAATTACCACTTTTTAAAATCATTTTTAATATCCATTCTCAGAAAAATATATGTTTTCACCAAAAACATTTTTATTCAGTCCACAAAGACCAAAGTTCACACACATTAAGCAGAGGTGGAAAGTACTCAAATGCTTAATAATAATGATCAGTGCGTACTTACAGATTGACACACACAGACACACATGCATGCATGCACAGACACACACACACACAAACTCTTGGGGCCCCCTGGTAGTCACACAGCTCCATAATATGACAAGGCAAAAATATAAGAATTTCATGCATTGGTCTACAATGGGAAAAAGGTTGAATCTGATAAAATATAGTAAAAATGTCATATATCACTACTTTTCTTCAGAATGAAATGCTGCCATTAAAGGATGCATGGTTTTATATTGTAATGGCAGTGAGATTAAAAATGTGATTATAATAGAAGTCAATAGGGCATTTTTGGCCACAAGGGTGTCACTAGTGAGTATCTGGCACTACATAAAAAATACTAATGCAATCAAATCAATTTGTTGCTAATCTTTGACATATCCAAGACTCTACTCACCACCCAAACCCCATCCTCCTACTATTTATTATATGGAAAATAATTCTTTTTGTTTGTTTGTTTGTTTTTTGCAATAAATAATTCATAATTCTAATTAATAACTGGCATTTAAATTGTTAAAATCCTGAGAATGATTGAATGTTTGATAGTTTTGAGCAAGTCTAAAAAGATTTATGAAAAAAAAAGCAGAAAAAAATATTGATGTACGTGTCAGGAATCGCCGCGTGAAGATACCAACAATGTCGTGGGTGTACTCAATTATATTGCCAGACAAGGTAAAACAGGAAACAATCCTTTTAATAAGGTGCCAGTCACAAATAACAAAATACAAAAACAGAAGTCCAGTAAACAGAATCAAGGTGAACATGAATATAGAGAACAATCTGGCAGCATCCCGGTGGGAGAAATCTGCCTATAAAGGGGAGAAAACAGGTGTAAATAATAACCGGTGATTAAAGTAAAAAGACCGAAACTAAGGTGAAACAGAAACAGGATGTAAAGTGACATGACAGTCAGGGGCAGGACCAGACTGGGCAGAAGCTGAGGTGACAACGGCCTCCATGGGCTCAGGAACAGGCTTGGGCTCAGGAGTCAGCAGTGGCTGCTCGGGGACTGGCTCGGGCTCTGGAGTCAGCTGCTGCAGTGGAAAGCCAGGCTGGGGCTGAAACTGCAGTGGAAAACCAGACTGGAGCTGAGGCATCTTCCTCATCCGCCTCCTCACTGCACTCCCAGGACAGAAGACCCACCAGGTACCCTTAAAGGGCAAGGGTTTGAGGTCCCTAGGGTCGTGGCCAGGGTTACAGAAAAGGAGCGCCCAGCTGAGACGGTGGTAGTGCGCTGGCCAACCCACTCGGGAACAGGAATAGGCTCGGAGGCGGCATCAGCACGCCAACCGACTCGCTCATGGACAGGAACAGGAACAGACCCGAAGGCGGCGTCAACTCGCCAGCCAACCCGCACAGGAACAGGAACAGGCTTGAAGGTGGCGTCGGTGCGCCGGCTGACCTGCTCAGGCCAAAAAAAAAGTTTCTGTGCAGGTAGGAAGAGTGGAGACAGCCTGGGCTCATGCACTGCCGGAGTCGGGAAAGGACACACCCCCGCGACCCAGTCGGCTCAGCTCCGCCAGCATACTGCCCAGGCTCATTCCCCAGTCAGCCAAGATCCACGCCCACACCCACACACCAGTATCTGTCCAAAATAAAAGCATGGAAACGGAAACTGACAGGACAGAATCATGACAGTATGGATGATTTAATCATTTTTGTACGTGTACATTTTTGGCCACAAAAATGTACAGAATGGTAGTACAATCGAGGAGGGTGGAGGGGTTAACATCTTAAATGCAGTTTTTACACTGTGATATTGCTACTTTTATCTTAAGTAAGCAATCTGAGTACTTCTTCCACCAATGATATGTGTGTTGCTAAACCTATGCAGTCATAACAATACATAGGGGTGTAAAAAATGCCCCAAAACTGGATTATTATATGATTTTAAAAGTTATGAAACAGTAAGCAAAATTACAAATATGACAAGTCACTCAATGCCAGCTGCCAGTACATCTTATGGACTAACCCATTTTGGTTGATATCAAAAAACTTAAGATAAAAATAAAAAAATTAAGGTTTTGATAACCGAGCCCTAACTGTATCTCAGTGTAGCAGTGGTGGGAAAAGGCTTCTTCTCTATGTATGACTCTGCTTCCATCAGGCCTACTGTAGAGGGCTGAATGAATGCATTTCAAACAGACCAGTGGGGGAATGATGAATTTCAAACAGTGCTGAATCGCACCAGAGCATCGAAGTATAATAAAACTGGACAGACAGATAGAGAAACATTACTCTCTTCATTTTCATTTCTCTCCCTCTGGACCGACAAGCCACCACAGCATACATGTCTGAATGTTTAAAAGGGTCTGTGCCATCCGTATCTAATTTATGATATGAACATGCTTTATGTTTACTGGATGAGTCATGACAAAAAGAAATTAACTTCTTAGCATGAGATACAACATGCCGTTTGCATGTTGAACTCACTGTGGGGAATTGCACACTGGGGCGCTTTTCTTCCAGACCGCTTATCATCAGCATGCGTAGTGTTTGTGCACAGCTTGTGGCCAGCTAATGCACTGAGCTGCAAGAGGGAAAATAGACATATACAGTATGTACAGTATAATAAATTAGCAAATATAGTCATTCAAAGTCAAAGCCGTCTCTGGTAGGCTAGTGGTTAAGGTGCAGCACTCTCACCACTGCAATACAGGTTCAAGTCAGGGTTGCATCAGGAAGGGCATCTGGCATAAAACACGTGCCAAATGTCAACATGCGAGTTGTTAGTGTGACAATTCACTGTGGCGACCCCCAAACAGGAAAAGCCAAAAGTGACATTCATTCAAAGTCATGAGTTTAGCAAGACCTCCTTCCAAGAGATGAACTGTAGCTTCATAGTCATACTGTGCCCCAGTGCTTTGCATTTTCTGAAATGATGTTGCTACACTTAGCAGAATTCTAATTCAAATGGCCCTTGAACAATACTGTGAATGGAGGAAAGCTTAACAATATGAAAAGCACTTTCTCTCTCTGTATGTAGTACAATGGCTCTGAGGCCTTTATTTCTTGTTACAGTATAGAAGGAGTTTCATAATGGGCTGTTCTCCTCTACTCCCTTCTTCACTGCTCGCCTCTCCGTGACCACACACACACTCATCGCAGATTAGATAGACAGTTGATAGTCACAAAGCTAACCCTTGTAGATGTAAGGGGGTTTAGATGATAGAGATAAAAGAAGAGAAGGAGAAATGGGTGGAAGAACACAGACTGTGTGCTGACAGGATTGTGACAGGGCTTAATTACTGTACCAACTGAGCTCTGTGCACTGGAAGCAATTTCTAAGGATTGTAGTCATTTGAATAAATTAAAACACCCTTTCATTGGACTTCACTGTCTCACTACAGGGTTGCTGTAGAATAAAAGTCAAATCAAAGAGAAAAAGGCAGAGAGGCAGAAATGAAAGAATGGAGACAGAGGAGACCCCACTTAGGCAGGATGGTATTGAAGAAAGATAGAGTCAAAGGGGGGTTGTTTTATGGTTGATCTTGTGTGGGTGTAAAATAACAAAATAATGGTGGCATCCCTCTTTTTAGTCCTAAACTCTCCTACTCCTATCTTATGCAGTGCTATTATTCTTCTGCTGGCTGTGGGTATTTAATGATTAAACAACCCACATTGCTCTTCCCACATGGATTTTCCATTGACTAATCATCATCCTTTTCAATTACCTTCCCCTGTAGACACTGAGGGCTGTGAGCACATGTGGAGGAAGTTCCATGGTCACTGCTACAGGTACTTCAGCCGCAGACATACTTGGGAGGATGGTGAGAAGGACTGCAGGGAACACAGTGGCCACCTGGCCAGTATCCACAGCCTGGCTGAGCAGAACTTCATCAGAGGTGGGTGGAGGTGGGAAGAACGAGAGCACAGGGACACTGTGCTCTCGTTCTCCACAGCATAGCCTGTGCAGCCTGCATACGTGTTTGTTCTTAACTGTTTACACGGCAGGATTTTTTAAATCAAGCTGGTAAATTGGGTGTCCAGAGCTCTGTAAATAATAGTAAATAATCCTATTCATTTTCTGCAGTGTTAGGTAACTGGAGTATTTCCAAGGCTTGGATTAGCAGAAAAAAACCCTAGAAAAATCATCAGTTAACACAGGGGTGTCAAACTTAATCGCACAGGGGGCCAAAACTCAAAGCACACTTTAGGTCGAACAGGATAAAAATTTATTGAACAGACTAAAACTAAACACTTTTTGAACATAAATATGAATTGAAACAGGTAGAATACAGTATTATACCAAAATAAATTAACTTGAACTTAAAATCAGCAACCGTATTTCTGCTAAGGCACATGTGTCAAACTCAAGGCCCACGGGCCACATCTGGCCTGGCATACAATTACATCCGGCCCGCCAGTTTACATTTGCAAACACCTGCTTTTTGTCTGGACACAAGACGTTGCACACTTTCATCATGCAGCTCTTCAGAAACTCTCCCTCGATAAATGTCCGGGCTGATTTTCTCCTCTGCCACAATAAAACTTGCTTTTACAGCAGCTTCACTGTGTGATTTCGCTTTGGTGAAAACGTCTGCTGTGATGTCAGATTCCTCTTCAACTCCTCTACCTTCTTTAGCTTCTGCTCTGCATTCACGTTTTTCAGCTTGTCCTGATGTTTTGTCTCGTAGTGCCGTCTTAGGTTATATTCCTTAATTACAGCCACATTAGCTCCACAAATAAGACACACGGGTTTACCGGTAATGTCAGTAAACATATACTCAGCCTCCCACCGGTTTAGAAAGGCTCTGTTTTCAGAATCAACTTTTCTCTTGGCCATTATTAGGGGCTAGCTTTGACTTGAAATTAGGGTTGTATACATCAACAGACGCTTGATTGATCTGACATAATTGACACGGTAATGATCGCAGGTAGCCTTCATCCCAAAGCGGATGTGAATGTTATTAGCAAATTCTAAACAAACAGTAGAAATGCAAGGGGAGCAACAGCATTATGAAAAATCCTTACAGTGGGTAAAATAACTCCACAAACTGAAAAAATGGACAAAAATTGCAGTTGACTCAGTTCCAACTATTTGTCTGACAAAAATAGGTGAGGACAGTCTCTACGTTTGCGTATGCACAAATTTAATTTAACAAGTCATTGCTTGATTTGACTGTTTTTGTGCCATAAATATTTCTTTCCTCTGTGTTTTACTGGGTGAGGTTTATGTGTCAAACTGTTTTTCCAAAATGACATTTACTGCTGGTATTTAATAATAGCATCAGATATTTGCTATACTAGTTGATGTTATGGTTGATCACTCATGGAAGTGAAGTGAGAAAGCAAGCTGGACTCAGATGGCAGACTCAAAACAGTGCTGATAATAATCCTATATTATAACAAAAGCTAGTTAATGAAGGGCTCAGTCATATGATTGGTGCAGTCTGGCAAAGGTAACTGGGTAGGTGCAGAGAAGATGGGTCAGCAGGATGAGCAGTGGGAGACCAGAGGACGGGGACGTGGAGGTGAGACAGCCAAGGGGTTGGAAGTGACGACACAGGGTTGAAGATGCAGCGGCGTAGAGGACAAGTGTGCGGGTTGCACGTGAACATTGGTGTGCGGGCTGCATGTGCACGCTGGCGTGCGAGGACAGATGAGCAGACCCGGAGAACTCAGGTGGAATGAATGAGATGGCTGAGCTTGCAGCAGAGAGCAGCCGCTGGTGTGAGGAGTATTCAGCTTAAAGGAGGGCGTTCAGGCAGCTGCAGAAATGAAAACAGAGGTAGAATTTGTGGGAACTAGGAGAAGAGAAACCCAGGGGAGACGGTGACTGTTAGAATCCAGGAGTAATGAAATAGTCTTACTTCGAAGAGTGAAGATTTTTGGTCGAAGCTTGGCCAGAGATGAGCTAGAAACCTCAACATTCTGGGGATGAGTGATCATACGCCAATACCTTAAGTACCAGTGTAGGTAATTAGGTAACCTGACAGTTGAATATTTGGCACAGGAGTGAAGAACAAAACATTGCTACACTCGTGTTTTAATGCAAGCTGATTGGATCTTTCAGTAAGGTTACTTAAGTATTTGGACACAGAGAAGTTTGATCTGTGCCAGGCACTATTACTATACTAATATCCATACAGCCTTGTTGGTGCCTCATTAAAGCCTTCATCTACTCACTCTGAGCTTTTTGCCCCTTGGCAGTGCTTCATAGCCTTGTGTTGTAATAAGGCCAGCTCACCAGCAGCAAGCTTCTGTAATATTGGATCCACCTTCTGTCTGGGACTCATGCCAGGACAGTGCCATCCATCTAGCATTCATCCTTCTTCTACATGCTCACAGTTACTGAAACATTTGTTTAATTGCCCCAAAAATGGAAGTCTCAGCCCCTACAATAAGGGGATTATAGCCATTAGGAAAATTAATGGGCCTGTTAATGATGGTAATCAGATACACCATGATTGAAATTGCATGACATACAGTATGTGCATGCACATGAACATGCCTGTAGGACCATGCACAGAGACATCCATAAATGACAGGAGTAACACATAAATGAGATTAACCCCAAATACCATTAGTGAAATTTTTGTTTCACACATAAAAATCTCACCAGTAGGGCAGTACCTCTGTTGTTACTCACCTCTCAGTTGAGCCCCCAGAGAAACTGCTCACCGCTGTGTCTGCTGCTGTTCAGCCCCAGGACTAAGTCTGGATTCATGTTTGGAGCCTGTTGCACAGAGATGAATAACCTAAAGTTCAATGAAGCAGTGGACCAATCTTCTCTGTGAATCTGGAGAAAATAACCCACAGTGATGTAAGAAATACTAGCTAGTGCCTATATTCTGCCTGTGTATTAATTTCTGCTGTGCATTACTTTCTACTCAGGACTGAGCCATGACAATACATGGATCGGGTTAAATGATCGTACAGTAGAGGACGACTTTCAGTGGACAGACAAAATGGACCTGGTGAGGAACCAGCTGTGGCTTGATTTGTCTGTTAATTCTTGTGGAATTTCAGGCCTTAGAGAAACAGAATAAATTTGTGAAGAATAACAAAAAAAACTAGAGACACTCTTAACTGCAGCTTGAAAGATCCTGATCCTTTTGATACAAAAAAACTTTAGCTCCATTATATTCTGCACAGAATTTAGATTTGTTTTTCGGTTTGTAAAATTACAACACAAAAACATTACCAAGGCAAAAAAGAAAAATAATAATGTCCTGTGCAAAACCTACTATTGTGAAAAATTCTGAGAGCACTGATTAGTGCCTAAAGAAAATTGTGTTTCAATGAAGTTAAAAAAGAAAGACTGGTATTGGCTTCTTATATTTATTTGGTTAACTATGTCTGTTTTTGTGCATATGTGCATGCAGCAATATGAGAACTGGCGGGAGAATCAGCCAGACAACTTCTTCGCTGGTGGAGAGGACTGTGTGGTTATGATTGCTCATGAGACTGGCAAATGGAATGACGTGCCCTGCAACTACAATCTGCCCTATGTCTGCAAGAAGGGAACAGGTGAGAGTAAGGAGGAGGACAGAGGGGAAAGTGGTGTGGACAACCATGACTAACACAGAGGTGAGCAAGCAGAGAGAATTGCGGGATAGAAAAGAACGCTGGCAAAGAGGAAAAGACTATGAGGAGTGAGAGACCGCGAATTTGAAGTGTCACGATGAAGAAGCATGAGTTAGTTTTTTTTTAAATCCTGAAAGGCAAATCATAAAATTAAGGTGATTAAAGAAAATGTTGTAGCCTGCTCAGATACTGACAGCAACATGTACCTTGTAATTGTGAACATCCTGGCTGTGTCGTACTTTATGTTACACACATCTAGGTGCGGTGGAAAAGATTAGCATTGGGCCTCTACACTCAGTCCACATACATACTTCAGATATACACTAATTACTTCACTTCCATCTTTCATCGCCCTCTATCTCGACTTTAAAAAGTTCTCCACATACTTCTCGTGTGAGACTCAATTTCCTCTACCGAATGTTCTGTTTTACTAAGTTGAAGCACGTCTTGAGGCAGTAAGTACTCTACACATTTATATACAAGAAAGGTAAACTCAGCAAAACAAGGTGCACAAACATTGATTGGTTAAACTTCTCCATACGCCACTGCGAGCTCTGCTTCATATCCCCTGTTGTGGCTGCCCCTTCTTCCTGAAGTCTGCTGTCATCTCCACTGTTTTGAGCGTGTTCAGCTCCAGGTTGTTGTGACTACACCACAGGACCAGCTGCTCAACCTCTCTTCTGTAGGCTGACTTGTCACCATCTCGGATGAGACCAGTGACCACTGTATCATCAGCAAACTTTAGGAGTTTGACAGAGGGGTCCATCAAGATGCAGTCATTGGTGTAGAGTGAAAACAGCAGAGGGGAGGGCACACATCCCTGGAGAGCACCTGTGCTTATTGTCCGGGTGCTGGATGTGGTTTTCCCCAGCCTCACTCGCGGCTTCCTGTCTGTCAGAAAGCTAGTAATCCACTGACAGGTGGGGGCAGGCACAGTGAACTGGGTCAGTTTGGAGTAGAGGATGTCCGCGATGATGGTGTTGAACGCCGAGCTGAAGTCCACAAAGAGGGCCCGTGCATAGGTCCCTGGGGAGTCGAGGTGTTGCAGGAGTTTGCCCAGTAGGTGAACTGCAGAGGGCCTAGCAGGGGTCTACGGTGTCCTTCAGGTGGGCCAGCACCAGTCTTTCAAAGGACTTCATAACTACAGATGTCAGGGCAACAGGTTTGTAGTTGTTCAGTCCACTGATGGAGGTTTTCTTGGGGACTGGAATGATGGTGGAGCATTTGAAGCAGGAGGGGACTTCACATAGCTCCAGCGACCTATTGAAGATGAGTGTGAAGATGGGGGCAAGCTGATCAGCACACACTTTTAGGCAGGAGGGGGAGTGTTTGTCAAACCAGCAGTAGAATACATTCAGGTCATCTGCTAGTTGATGGTCCTCCACAGCAGGGGGGGATGGTTTCCTATAGCAAGTGATGCTTTTCAGGCTCCCCCACACAGACGATTTAAATAACCTAAAATATTCTGATAATATGTAGTTATCCAAATAATACTATCTTGATTTGAACATGCATGCTGATAGCAGAAGAGGATATGAATCAGTTAAATTTTGGGCATTAAGGGAGGAAGATACAACAAAACAAGGATGTTGCAGTTCATTCTCAATGTCATAACCTCTAAGCTACAAGAGTGTCCTACTGGGTGTGTTTAACCTAAACCTCCTTGTAGAACTAAATGAAATAGCTCCATATTATACACTGAAAAGTGAATTAACCTGCACATAAAAGCCTCAGAGGTCTTGCGGATGGTCATTAAGTTAATTTAAGCAAATTGTACTTTAACAGCTGGGTTGTCATCAGAGGCAAGAGAATGTACTTCTAAAGTCTCAGGCAATAACCATGTCTCCTGAAACATCCTCTATTCTTGTATGTAAGGTAACATATTTCCCTCACAAGCAAAGTGCTGTGCTGCCTGTGATGCACACTGACCCAAGTCCCCACCTCTGACTTTAATCTTTCAGTTACAATCATCATTTGCTGTAGTGCCAGAGGCAGCAGCTGAGAGACAATGGTTTTATTTATTTAATCTACTGTAAATATACCACACAGTACCACAGGGTGTCTAAATCTAAATCTGACCTTTCATTTTTATCACTCCAGTGGCATTTTTTTTTACAGTATCATCAAACACTGCGCATCGCAGGCAAGACAAAAATCAGATGTAGGACTTTAACTGAATCAAAATACCCTTAAATATACTCTAGTCATTAATAAAGAAATGGTTCAATATGTAAGGATCGGGTCCGTCTTACCATGCTAACTCTGAGAGACGAGGCAGTCCAAGTAACTTCAAAACAGTGCTGATTTATTCAAAGGATCACAGGTAAAATTAACATTACACGCTCAAGTGTCTTGCACCTCCAACATGCACGCAGGCAGATGTAAGATGAAAGACCCTGAACCCACCAGGCCTATACATTTTATCACCTCGGTTGGGCTAGCCCCATACTACACAGAAACGTCAACCGGGGCGTCTCTGTTACCAGCTTTGCAGCTGGCCCTAGCAGTAGTCAAAACATGAAGCAAATCAACGTGTGAATGTGTATGTCTGTTGGTTAAGTAGTGTGTAACTAAAAACATTCTCACGATCTCTAGTACATGTCGTGACTTGAACATAGGAACATATTATGGCTAAGGCTACAGTTATACACATCGTAATAATAATATTGAACACCCTGTCTGCTGACAGTCATCAACTCTTCTCTCTGACCAGATGTACCCGGTAGAAACTCATAAGCAGGCCTAAGCATTTAACAGTCTAACTAGACATCCTGACTCCACTAAACATTTCTAATACATAAAGTATCTATCCAATATCTATCTGACTAAAAATATCTAACAATATACTCAAGTCATTAATAAAGAAATGGTTCAATAGTTTTGGAAATACTCATATTTGCCTTCTTGCTGAAAACTGGATGAGAATATTAACAACACTCTCATACCAATGTGTTAAATATAGAGATTAGCGATTATCTTATTTTAGCATGCAGACCAGGCTGTATGTTAAGATAAGAATTTCTGGTGAACTGATTTAGCTTTACAGGGCCCATTGGTATGTTGTTGAAACAACTAGCCTGATTTTGAATGAAGCCAGCTGTTCCCTTGATTCCTATTTTTATGCTAAGCAAAGTTAATTGCTTCCAAGAGCCAACCCTACACTTAGCACACAGACATGTGAGTATGGCTCCTACCTACCTCTCAGCAAAAAAGCTACCAAGTGTATTTCCTAAAACACTGAACTTCTTTAATAGTGTTAGTTGCATATGTTTACTGTTACTGAACTTGGATATTGGTTGAAGAAACCAACAAACATATCTCTGAACCACAATCACATAGTCTCCTGCCAGTCAAATCATCTTTGTATTCATTAATTCATGGTCTGACCTGAAAGCCTGTAAAAGTCCCTCACATTTGCCTGCTTTCTCCTGACATTTATTGCATGAGACCAAACAGGCAATTTCCAGCAGTGCAGCTTTTCTTTCTTTTTTTTTAAATAGGGAATATGAAATTTCACAGTTTAACCCCAAAAATGAGTAAATAAACCTTAGTAAATATTACAACTTTACTCCAGTGATATCTCATTGGGTAATTATGGATGACAGTTCTTAAAGTGACATATTTTTTAATACATTAATATGGCGTGTTAGCAAACAACCTATTGCCAAAAGTATTCGCTCGTCTGCCTTCACATGCAAATGAACTGGAGCAACAACGGATTCTTAATCCATAGGGTTTAATAAGATGTTGACCCATCTTTTGCAGCTATAACAGCTTCAACTCTTCTGTGAAGGCTGTCCACAAGGTTTAGGAGTGTGTTAATGGGAATTTTTGACCATTCTTCCAGAAGCACATTTGTGAGGTCAGACAACTGATGTTGGATGAGAAGGCCTGGATCACAGTCTCTGCTCTAATTTATGCCAAAGGGTTGAGGTCAGGACTCTGTGCAGGCCAGTCAAGTTCTTCCACACCAAACTCAAAACTTTACACTTGGCACAATGCAGTCAGACAAGTACCGTTCTCCTGGCAACTGCCAAACCCAGACTTGTCCATCGGATTGCCAGACAGAGAAGCATGATTCGTCACTCCAACAAAATTTTCAGAATAAAGTTGAATATTTTTAAAAGTATGAAAGTTGTAAAAAAAAGTTGAATATAAGCCACAATGTCCTGAAAAAGCTGAACATTTTGATACCAGAATGGCTTTTCTAGCTGAAAGTATACTGAACTTATTAAGATGTGAACATTTTGTGATTGGTCCCCACAAAGTAGGTAAAACAAGTAGGGTTGTGTGTGTGTGTAGGTGTGTGTATGAGAAAGAAAGAGTAGTCCTACACACTGAGAAATACTAGAGTGTGGCTATTGAAATGAAACATAAAATGTAAATGGTAATTATGCAAAAACTGTTAAAAAAACAAAAAAAAACATCAAAAAGCTGTTTACAGTATGAATAGCTGAAGAGTTGCTGATTAACAGTTGACATGGTATTTCTACCTGAAAGTATGCTTAACATAGTAAGTTGTGAACATTTTTCCTATTCATTTGAATGGGGCAAAATTTTAGAGAGAGAGAGAGAAGTCTTACACCCTGAGGACTACTACAGTGTGGCTATTGAAATGAAACATCCTGAAAATGCCTGAAATCAATTCCTGAAACATCTGAACGCTGAGAAGAAATGGCTGAAGTTCTTTGTTGAAATAGCTTAAGGATGAGATGAACAGAATGACTGTGCACATGTCACTAAGCTTGGACACAAAATGGACAATGAAACCATTGGAAGGAACAGTCATTGCAGAGCATCGGGTGCAGCTGACAATCTAGTGCAGCAAGAGACATGGTGGAAAAAAAATAAAATTGTTTTTGAGAGTGATATATTGTTGTGGATTCAAATGCTTAGATAGTGGGCTTTAATAGTAGGCTTTTGTTTTGAAATGCGTGCGTGCG